CTCGTTGCCTGCTGTGTGTCTGTCGCATTATCCAGTCTTTCGCAATTAGGAAAATCACTGGAGATAGTAGGCAGCCAGCTTGTCTTATTCCCGTCCTCACTTCGAAGGATTCCGTGAGTTTCCCGTTGTGGATTGCTTGGCATGCAGCATTATCACACAAATGTTGGATGAGGAATATAATTGTTGGTGGCACCCCACAAATCACTTCATATTCAGTTCGATTACGAAATTCAAAAGTAAATTTCAAACATGATTACCTCATAAAATGCATGTTACCCTTATGCATGTGTTGTTAAATAAAAGTGAATAGATACAGACAGTAAGAGAGATAAACACTGTTAGCAAACTGTAAAAAAAGTACAAATAGGTGAGAAATTTACTAATTGAGATAAAATAAGATAATATCGGCGGAGAGATGTCTAGAGTCTCCAGATCTTCCATAAGAAGACTCTAGACTTTGTAGACAATTTATGCCTAGTGTCAAACAAACTCAAAGAAATACAGGCGGTAAGCGTCAAGTTGTCAGAAGAAGCAGAAAAGACAGAACTTTAAGAAAACATACTCAAGAGAGAGGTGGTGAAGATAACCACTGATTAGCAACAACAAGCACCAACTACAATCAACAGAAGAAATTCGAAGGAGGTCAGTTCATCTTCTCGTTTCGACAGCATTGTCTCAACTATAAATACCATAGATGAGAATGTCAAAGTCACAATAGGAAAAGCAAGACAGACCTTGATTACTCTGAAATCAGTCTGGAAATCTAATGCACTAGTCATAAACGACAAGATTCGGATTTTGAACTCTAATGTCCAATCATTTCTAGCATATAGTTCAGAGAATTGGAGCACATGTCACCAAAAGCAATTCCAACAGCCTACTGCAGAATTTCATCAAAAGATAACTTCACTGTCTCAGTACTGAAGACAAGATGGCTAGACTGAAACGATAAGCAACAAGGAACTCTGGGAACGTAATAGTCAAGATTCTATTGCTCAGGAAATACTGTGAAGGAAATTGAGATAGATCGAATATAAGCTGTGCAGACCGCTGGTTTACATCGTGCTTCACGCCCTCTAGGGGAACCAGAATAGGAGAAAACAAGTTGGATATGGTTCCAATGGTGATGTGGAGGAGATTGTTTGAAGAGGAGATGAAATCTTACGGATAGTCTTGGAGCCAGCTAAACGGGAGTGAAGAAAACAGGATGAAATGAAGCCTTACGTTCCACTTGAAACCCAAGACAATAATAATTACATTAAGATAAACATGCACAGTTTGTCGAACATCAAAACTCAAAAGACCTCATGTATACTCCATTTAATAGTTTTCAGATTTCAAAGCAAATCAAGGTAATAGATGTTGTCCACAAGTGTTTATAAAGTATAATTTGGGCTTTTTAATAAGAATTATTACTGCTTCTGCCATTCGAAAGTTTCAAAGTTCAATTAACTTTGACAGACTGCTGTGTTTGAGTCTCAGTGGGAACACTTTCACTGACTGGGATCCTGGTATTCCCATTCGATGCTTCCTAGACTAGACGAAACGCTCGTCTTAGATCCCAGTGAAACCCGTCATCAACTGAATACTATTGGTGAGAATATGTTAAGTAAACGAGAATGACTGGCCTATTTTATGATACGCATAAGTAGGCTAGGATAAAGCCATTTACACTCATGGTATCATTATCAGCATTAAGATATGCTCTAGACTTTATTCACATAGTAGATTGAATCTAAAATCGATAAAAGTGCAACTATCGTAAGTTGAGTCGCAATCAGCAGAATTGGAGAAACAAATAAGGGATAACAAATAAAAATAATAGTTTCATGTAACCAAGGTGTTTTCTGAAAGGTAATAAGAAGGGCAGAAATATAATAAGACAACATGTGACTGGCCTTACAGTGGGCCAAGATACACAAAGACACCGAATTTAGTTATTCGAATACATACATTGGATTTACTCTTATTAATTCCCATACCGTCTGATAAATATTCGAGATGTAATTGTGCGCATTTAGACAACTTAGCCAGTAAGCTACATTTACCTTAGTTTTTTATCAGTCTGTAAATTCGCGTATCAGAATTAATAGGAATGTAAATTCATTACAGTTGTAATTAAAAGAAATAAAGTTCACACAAGAGGTAATAATAATAAATATCATGTAAATGTTTATCATGACCACGATAGTCAATAGTGTTTCAGTAAATTTTGTGTCTAACGGAAAAGAGAGAGATAGGAAAGTAAGGCTATTTTTCACAGTAGTAGTTAACATAGTATTAAAATATTGATTTTGTGAGGATTTACTTTAATTTGAATGTAAAATATGTTGGGGACTGAAATTTGTTAGAAAATCGTCGGAAACCAAGGGATGTTTGACAGCTGTTTCATTCTAGCTTGAGATGAGACTCTTCAGCGCTATTCTAACCAGTCTTGTCAGTTCTCAAGGAAGCAATAATGAGCTGGCCGAATTTTCCTATCCATAATATTCATTACACATGAAGGATAAGCTATGGGCTCTGACCGCTTCAATTAGCATTTTAAAACATGACTATTCTTGTGTAGACAGTGTCATAGATAGGATAACTAGATAAGCTTACCATCGTTTTCTGGAGCGCTGTACAACATGGTTGCGAAAAGGGATAATAAGGTACATGAAGAAGGACTTTATGGCTCATTCATTCTTCTCACTATGGACTTCAGAATTATTCTAGTCATTGTTTTCACAGATGTTTTAAAGTTTGTAGAAATTATCCTCATCTTTCAGATATCTTAAAATGATGTAATCTAATTGCATCTAATTGTTCATATAACGACACCTTTTTCCATTCATTTATAGTTTTATTCTTCGAATGTTACATAATTTAATAGATAATCTCTGAAAGACTGTCGAATTCATTTTGACAAGTTGGCATGTCATATCATGTTAGGATTAACTAGTTATGCAGACTTTACTAGTTAGAATTATTTTGGCTGCGACTTCTTTACTGTTACAATAATAGTTAATCCAGATCCCATTCCATCGCATTTGGTCTTTTCTAAGTTCTTTATTTTTAAATGGTTTAAAAATTAATTTGTTTGCTTATAGGATTTCATCATGAACTGACGTCGATTTTCCAATGGTCGCATAACCGAAGTCGGTTCATAATGAAATCCTAAAACCAATCAAATCCCTGCAAACCAACACGTGACTATCAAGTTGATGCTCAGTAGAGACTGGCCTTATTCAGATATGTAGTTAACTGAGTTCTAGTCGGAAGTCGTGACTATTGGGGTACAACTGGTCAGGTATAAGGACAAATACTCGCCACAGTTGACATTTTCTAGTGGTCGTGCCATATCGTGAACTGGCAGAAAGTGAAATTCATGCACTGGCCGTTGAATCGGCTCCCAGTGGCTTGGTGGTATATGAGCTCACCTTGTAACCAGAAGGTCGTGAGTTCGAATCCTGCAGTGTGTGTGCGTACTGTTGAAGGGTCTCAAACTAGGCTGGCGAAACAGCTGTCCCGTACTCCGATGTTAGTTTTCCAATGGTCCTCTAACCGATGTCAGTTCTTGATGAAACCTTAAAAACAATCAAATCCCAGAATATTAATCCATTTGGATTGTCTGAATTTCAGTTAGATTTTCAAAATTTATTTCACATTATCCTTTTGTTTCATCTTTGGATTATGGTTGATATTTTTTTCATTATCTCCACTTTTCTTGAAATTGACCTTCTCTGCTACCTTACAATTTAAAAACTTACTGATTTCCATGATAGAGTAATTTTATGAGAAATGGCATATAGCCATACATTATTGCTTAATTACTGATGAGGTTTACGAAACTTTGTTGATCATATTCACATTATACTTCTAATTTCCTTCATTTACTCCTGTTATTTCTCAGTCTTTGATTTTACTGGTAATAATAACTTCCGTATTTCTGGTATGGGTCTTACAGTATTCCTTCACGCAACTACACAATAGAGTGAACTAGAGCTACAGTTATAAAGGCTAATCCAGTTAAGCACAGGAACGGGTAAACCGCTTAATCACTCTTCTTTTTAAGCACCATCCAACACGTTCAGTGAGAATGATACAACATCAATACCAGGAAGATAGGAGATATTATTGTCAGTAAAACCAAGAGAAATCTAAGCGAAATAAAAGGACTGTTTTAAAAAAAGATAGAAGATTATTGTGTGTATCCTAGTATGAATATGAAGAGTAAAGTTTGCTACGGACATCATTAGTGAAATCTGTATCAAATAAAACTATTCCACTACACTACAACAGTGTCACAATTTTATTCTTATGTCAGTTGGTAATTTTCATTTTGCCGAAATATCACGAATAAGTGGAAGCTAGAATTTGTAGGCCATTAGATAGGGTCCTGGTGTTTAGATGGTTTACGAGCTTGCTTTGCAACCTGAAGCTCATAGTTCCGAACTTCAGTGGTCAGGTACTACTGAGGAGTCCCGAAAGCTAGAACGAAACGTCCGTCCCATACTCAATGATTCTGCTTCTTTTATGCTTTTACATACCCAATATAACATAGGAGCTTCAAGCTATAGATCTGAGGTTTCGGTAGCATTGTTTTAATTTTTATGGGGTGTGATTGCTAGCCTAACACCCAACCTTCCCTCTTTACCAGCCTTACTACCGGCTAAGCAAAGTAAAGTAGTGAGTCGCCTGGGGATCGAACCCTGGACTATGTGCGTGGTTGTTGAGCATCTTACTGCTGAACCACCAAGGCCAATGGTTCTCTAACTAATATCAATCCATGACCAAACTTGAAACAAAAAATAAATGCCTGCAAATTAACTCTTGAAAATACCTTTTTCCAAAGAATCGTGTTTACACACAAACACACACCCACACGCAGACTGACGTCAGTCCACAAGTAAATATGATAAATTGATAAACAAACATGTTCACTTCATGCAGATATAGAATAAAATGAATTATGTTCGTTTCCACTTGTCTAACTTTCCTTTTATTCATTTTACTTACAGCTTATGGAGATTATGGAGTAGCCAATGAAGCTATACCAATACATCATGTTCCATATTCATGCTGTGATTTACAAACCTATACAACAGAACATTGTAATAATGCATCAACTTTACCGAAAAGTAAACTATCTACAACAGCACAATCAACTGAAATGAATAAACTTATCTATGTTATCCCGAATAGTTTAGCCTATAGAGAAGGTTGTGTCGATCGATTACAATATGTCTTTTTACCAGTAGTTATTGGCTGTTTCTGTCTACTTATATTTATCAATATCTTAGTAACACTAATCAATTGTTGTTATGTACAAAAGGCAGCAGATGAAGAAGAGATTCAAAGTACATGGCTTGATTCACAAAATTTTATTAAAGGAGCAACAGGTTAGTCAGTAGTATGATGTTTATCGATATACTAATTGCATAACCCACTGGCGTAATGGTTACTTATTTATTATTATTATTGTCTCCTTTAGTTCCTTGAGGAGTATAGGGTTTCAGCCACACGTCTCCATCACGTTCGGTTCTCTGCCAATGTTTCCACCCGGCCCCACGTCTGCCCACATGCCTTCATCTCCTCTTCACATGACCTCCATATCACCCCACCCTCGTTCTGACAACCAACTAGCCGCTTCCCACTCATTCAGGTTCCACTCGATCGATGGCCTGGTGTTTGATGTCACTCACTTGATGGTTTTCTCAGAGTATGGCCAATTCAATCTACTTCCATTTCTTCCTGCATATTTGTCGCAGAATTCGGTTCCTGCTGAGTTGGTTTGCTCATTGCCAGAGATCCCTCACTACTGCTGATCTTTTCTGGCCGGCCATCTGATCTTCGGTATTGAGCGAAGACAACTGTTGATGAAGGTCTGTAGTTTGTTTGAAGTGGCCTTCTTGGCGCATTGTCAAGTCTCTGATCCGTAAAGTTCAACTCAGAGAATTTGCTGTTTTCTGTCGTGTTACTAAAAGGTCATGGAAAATACCAATATAGATTAATTATTAATATCAGCTGATAACAAATCGTATGAAAATACACATCAGAATCAAAAAATGGATAAACTCAGAAGCTTCGTTATATAGTCTTACGTAATCTAAAAACATTAAATGACGAATAGCGTTCAGAAATTATCATTAAAACTTCAGGCCCTTGGAAACGAGAATGCTGTTTACAAAAGTAAAAGATTCAGAATACGTATAAGATTAATTTAATATCTGAGAGTATGAAAATATAGAAAGACAAATTATTGTACATGTCAATTAAAAGTTAAAGGTGATAGTGGTGAAAGGTATTAGGCACACGGCTTCTATATACACAGTTCAAGATTTTTCTTGTGTACAGAAGCAGCTTCTTCAGGGAACAGAAGATTTATCTGAAAACTCTTCGAACGACTTCATCTTGTCTTATATATTATATATAACTTTCAAAGATTTATCTATTGATAAAGATACATATTTAAGAATATAGTGCTCAAAAACTTAGCTTTTAGTTGGTCTTATCTCCCTATTTGACAACCATATTAGAAGAAATTCCTAATGACGTCTAGACTACATCTGTCAATAACTAGACAATCTGATATGACCATAAATATCCATACCATATATATTGCAAATCTTATGAATCTAATATGACTATTAGGAATAAACTGTGTTCGAGACATAATCAGGAAAAAATACTGTACCACTGTATTTTATTAGATCAAATTGTTCTATAATGGCATCGACTACTCTGCATAAATCCTTTGCAGTTTTTGCTTTTCTTACTATGCCACATAACTCTCCATTTGTTTTAAAAAACTTGACTTCCGGGTTTGCATAATGCTTAGATAGTCCACCACTTATAGCATTAGTAATATAGTTATTAAGCTTCAATATCTTAATTAATGAGAAAGTGAAGCGTTGCAGATTAATCTTCCATCTTAGAGAAAATAGCAACACCAAATGCAAACAAATTAAGGTCTGTATGAGTATAAGCGATTTAAATCAAATTTTGAATATGCAAATGACGACACCATTGGCAATTTACACAGTTTAAGGTGGGATTTCTCCATAGTCCCCTTCGGAAATCGAAATTATTCAAATCACAGTATTTGATCTGCTCGATACCATAAACGACAATTAAGAAAGCAAGCAAACGATATATGCTACTGGTTGACTGTTTTGAGCAGTTGTACACCACTCATATCAACTATTAGTGTTTGCTAAACAGATTGCTCATTTGAGGCCGATATTATCAGTGGACACGACAGGAGTTCAATGTTTAAATCACCTCGACTTGTCTAGCAGGCATTACTACTACTACTCATATCAACCGATCAGTAGTGTGTCGTTTTCTTTGCGGAGTAGGGTTTCTAAACTCACGTCTGACCCACCCTCTTCACCGGGTTTACAACCGGCCGGTAATCAAACTCTGGACCACGTGAAGCGTTACTGGTGAATGTCCTACCATTGAATCAACACCGAAAAGAAGTTTCCGCACATGGTGGCAAACATTTTTTATTTTTTACATAATGAATTTTTGAAAAACGTTCCATAAAATAATTTTTCGATATTTCATATCAATAAAAATTTAACTTTCTATGCATTATAACACCTATAATTTATTCTATATCCTTTTTTCAATACTGCTTCTAGAAGCCTTCTGCCTCCGACCTCAAATAGAATCGGAAGTAACCAAAGATACTTCAGTATCAAACTTTTCTGACTTATCAGTATTTCAAAGGCAATTATCACGTAGGCGAACTAGTTCCATACCATCGGAAAAGCAATAAAAATAACACTTTGTTTCTCATTCTTTCCTGTAAATTAACTGAATCCCTTTTATATAGATTACTAATAATTTCATTGTAAATCTATCTTACATTGAAAATGAATTCCGCAAATAAGTAGTATAAACAAAGCGGATTATATATATTCACTTCCTGTGAATTCATCACTCTCATTATTGTCTTTGTATCTGTTGTTTTATTTCACTACCTAAATCAACAAATTACTGAGTTCATACTGAGTTCCTTTCTGTACACGTTATTCATGAAAATATTCTTTTCGCTAATTGTGCTTACATCCAAATCTTGTTGTTGTTGTTTATTTCAAATGTATATCATCATTTTAATTTGTTCGCGCCATTTTATCGTTTTCTTTTTTTGTTTCTTCTTGTTTTCATTTGTATTTCTACAGTTCATTGTCGACAATTAAATAGTAATCATTGAATGACTTTTACTCTTGATACTACTTTATTCACAAATAAAGTGGTTTTCAAATGATATGTGTAAATATTTTGTGAATAAACAAGAAAAAAAAGAGCAGTAAATTTATTTTCTTTTTTCCTTAACATGAAAACCATTTCTGGTGACGTAAACGTGACATTTTATAGGAAAGTAAGTAGTCTGAAACACTGTTGAGACGATAGCCTTTGTTTCTAATCGATTTCTTTGTGGTGGTGTTGGTGGTTGGGATTGATTTTAATCCAAGGTCTACAATGTCTGAATACCAATGAAATTTAGACTGTTTTGTTGTTTTGCAGGTTTCGTTACTAATACAGCTATTTTCATTAAGCCAAGTGTCTGTTGTCAAAAAAAATTCTGTAGAAGGAAGTCGGGGTAGATTAGATATACAGAGACCTTCAAGTAATGCCACATGCAAAGCCTCCGAGAAGAAGCCGAAGAGGAAGAGTCCTAGAGTGATATATGGAGGAATTCGTGTGAGGAGCGAATGAAAGCTTGCAGACTATCTTGGAGACAGTTGAAGGTAATAACTGAGAAGCTGATGCAGGAAAGACGTGCTGATAAAGCTCTGTGCCCCACTTCTTTTTATCCTATCACGTTCCAGCGGAACATAGGGCTTCAAGCTACAGGCTTGAAGTTTCTGTAGCAATGTTTATTTTTACAGGATGGGGTTGCTGGCCTTATGCCCTCCTCTTTACTAGCTTTATGACTGGCTTAGCGAGATAAAGGAGTGCGTCGGCCGGGGATCGAACCTCGACCACATGCGTGGTCGGCGAGAATTCTACCGCTGTGCCACGGACGCACCCTGGTGTCTACTTGGAACTCAGTAAATGATTAGTGATACAAATATAGTTCTCAGTTAGCGTCAAACAAACTGAGTGGCAGATAATAACAGTCTACCATTATTTCTTTATCGAATCAACTGCAAATACATGTAATAGGAATGATTCATCACCTGTCCCCGATAACTGGAAAATTCTACTACCCCCACGACAAATAGGAGAGAACAAAGAAAACTATAAAACTCAAGTTTCAAAGTTGTGTGATTACAATTGGTATGATTATGAACAATAAATTTTGTTCGGAACTTCGTCATCCAGTAAATAATACTGTTTCACTGTGTGATATATCTAATAAACAAACTAATATGGAATTACTTACTACTACAGTGCCCAAGTTTTACACATATACTACCATTATTTGTTTATTTAGCTTTATAAATAGGAATTTGTGAGGTAAAATGGTTGTCACTCAGTAATTCATTAACGTGACTAATAGTACATAAACAAAAAATGTGTTAATCATGTAAAAATGAATGGTTCACTGTGGAACAATTTTTCAACCCTTATTCTAAGTGAAAGAAAGATGTCATTTACCTGCCAGGCCCTCAAGTGAAATCCAAATGGGAAGCGATGAGTGGGTCGTCTGTGTGAGGGTGACATGAAAGAGATCGTAAGAGTTGAAGGAGATCAGAGATTATGGTCAGTTGTAGACCCAGATGAAGAGGACAGAAGAAAATAGAAGAAAGTGGAGATATGTTGTTGAAGCCCTACGTTCTACTCGGAACCCAAGGAAATAAAAATAACAATGTTAATTCTAAGTGATGTATTTTCTTCAAGAATACAGGTCTTTCCTTTTTCTTTGCATTTGTAATGTTTTCTTATAATAGCGGTATATGAAATAAAATACACTTTGGGGAATATTTTCAGAATGAAAATATACAAGGAAGTATTTTAAAAAGTTGTTAAAGCATAAATTTGAAATTAAGAACACATGAGTCAGTAAAGAGATCTCTTTTTTTTCGTAGCTTCACTTCAAAGCTGTACAATACAGAATGACAACACAGGTCAAAGGTTGCTGTCAGTCAGTATCAAAGCAAATTAAAGCGTATGAGTAATAACTGTGTTTGAAAAACTGACAATAATATTACTTAATCGAGAGGGTTGGCAACTGCTTAGTTGAGTGACGAATAATCGTTTGGAGATCCTTGATAGGCGACGAAGAATTAAGAATGGGTCGCAAAAACATTGAAATAGTAGAACAGAATACATTCTGCACATTATACAAGTATTCAGTAAAACAATAAAGGAAAAAGGCTAGTACTCAGACCATGGTAGTAAACGAGGCTGGATAAAACGCTTCTTAACGTAAACTTCAGGTTTCCCTTATGAATTACTAAGGTTTCGTCTTCGTGAAGAAGATGTAAGAGAAATCCTTTTGAACGACTTAGTCTTAATTTAAATATGACTCTGGAAGAAGTCTCTGCTGATGCAGTATGACCAGAATTGATAATATGCTCCAGAATTGATTTATTGACTGTTCTGCATTCACCCTTTTGATCGTCATGCTGGTAAGTGATCATGGACACGTTTAGTCAGTGTCCAAGTGGTATAACCAATGTACTTAGCTCCACAGGGACGAAATGATCCCAACAGGTAGCTTTGGAAAACCTTGCTAGTTGTATCTGCCTTGAATTTCAGGTTTGCAGTTAGTTGTTTCTTCTGCATATCTAGGTGTCGTGGAAGATTAGTCTTCGCCTTTAGATGTTTATCAATAAAGAAGGCTAGATATCCATTTAAAGTGTTTCTGAAGGATTCCAATTCCCCGCTCGACGTCTCTTCAATACATTCTCGTCTCAAAAGAGGAGACGACATTCCTTTTTCTGCTCACTGTGACAAAACTGTAGTAGTCTGTCAGCTGTCTATTTCATTTTGCCTTGTGGTAGACTGATCTTTGAAATTTTTGATATCGTCAATGAATAAACACACTAATTTTAAATTAATTTAATGAAACACTTTAGGAACATTTATACATTGGAAACTGAATGAGATGACATTATAAACTGTAACAAAATAAATTAACCTGAGCTTAATCACTAGTTGTAAAGACAACCACAAGAATAATAATAATACCACCAAGCACTAGAAGTGAGGAAAAGAGGACTGGTCGTTGGTAAAAGCTTTAACTATCTCACCACTGAGTAACGTGGTTGGGAAATATTTCGAATTAATATATTTGTGATGACCTTCTTCAATAATTAATTTCCTGACAGATATAGGAAGTTACCAACTAATGAAGGAACAATCTTCAAAAACAAGAGATAAACCCAAAAGGGGAACCGGAAGCCCAAGAAGGGTGGAAAGACGGTAGTTTAAATTTACATTAAAAGTATCTTAGTGTTGTCCCACCGTATTTTGTGATTACATGCAAGTGAATGCAGCGCAACAGCTGAGCTTTTTTCTAAGTTATTTAACTTAGCACGGTCAATTATTCTAGGTCTAGCTAAATTGTTATGCTCTAATAATCCAGTTGACCTCTATCTTCTAGCTTGAAATATGTAATTGACCTTATGTAGAGTTGTGTACAAAAGAAGTATGTACAATCCCTACTTCTGCCTTGGCCGTAGAGGGATAGACATTTATTTATTTTGTTTATTTAGTTATTCTATATACTCTCCCCTTATTACTACGATCATTATTAATATTATTATCATTATTATTATCACTATTATCACTCTGAATCTTTTCCACTTGACCCACTTGACATTTTAAACCCAAAATTATTAATTTTTATATTTTTATTTTTACAATATTGAATTCTATCTTATCTAATTTCATACCATGTTATGTAACATTTTATATTCGTCTACTAATCTTATAATTATGTACCCCTTTCCAAAATCGGCACACCTTATGTATTGTTCTGTATATGACATTAATTACTTTGCCACTTGACATTAAACTATGATTATAATTACAAATATTTTAATTGCATTTCATACTACTATTATTACTTCATGTATTCATACCTTGACCTAATTCCCTCACAGGATGTAATTTCTTAAAAACTATATATACATGATTGTACAGCTTGATAATAAATTCGTTGAAAAGAGTCTCTTCGCTGAATATTGTGTTCTTATGTAGAGTTCTCAATGAGGCTGGAATTATGGTAGTATTTAAACTAAGCAACTCTCTCCGAGATAAACTCTGTTGGCTGAAGGACCCAATGGATCCAATTCAGAAAAACAATATAATATACCGAATGCCATTTAATGACTGTGAGGTGAATTCAATAGGTCAAGCTAGTATATCGCGGTCAACATTAGAGCATATTAGAGCATTATTAGAGCATAACAACCTATAATAATTGACCGTCCTAAGAAGACAGTTGCAGCGAAGAAAATTTTCTTTTCGACGAAGTCATCATCTAGGCTGTACATTCGTGTATTTATATCAAATGGATGGGAAAGTTCCAGAATAATTTCTGGTTAGGGGTCAAATTAATAAAAATTACAATTAGGAATTAGAATGCCATAATAAACAGGGGGATGGGTAAAACTCAAACAAAGTAGCATTATAACTAAGAAGATTGACTGGTGGCTGGTAGAAATTCTTGGACCAGTGAAAGAAAAGTTGTCAAGATGCAACCTCAGCGACACATTCGATTTCGTGGATTCAATTAAAAATGTCAACCTCGCTATTAAAAAGATGGTCTCCCTAGACGTCGTCTCTCTGTTCACCAATGTGCCAATGATAGAAACTATATGCTTTCTGTGTGACTTCATCCAATGCAATAGCATAGATGTCGGTATACCGATGCATTATCTAAAGGAGCTGTTACTACGTTGCACCTCCAACGTCTACTTCAGATTCAACAATGAAATCTACAGGCAAACCGATGGCGTAGCAATGGGCTCTCCACTCGGACCACTCCTAGACGACTGTTTTATGGCCAGCCTCGAAAACAACCCCTTATCATCAACTATCGACGACCTTCATCTCTACAAGAAATACATTGATGATACTTTCATCATTTGTGATGAGAACCTGGACCTCGAAAGCTTACTTCCAGTCTTCAACAACGCCCACCCAAACATCGACTTTACACTTGAGACTGAATCCGACGGAATGTTCCACTTCCTCGACGTCCATCTGACAAGAATCGACAAGAACTCTCTGAAAAGATCCATATACAAAAAGCCTACATGGAATGGACAATTCATCAACTTTCAAAGCTTCGTGCCGCTAAGCAGAAAGAGGAACCTGATATACGCTCTTTCTTCGAAGATTCGAAAGATATGCAGCGAAGAAG